TTAAAAACTTTCTTTTGCATTTGTACTTTGTTCAATAGTATTCCTCAAAATTCATGTCTACCTAAAAATCTCAGAATGTTATTGGTTTATTTGGAAGGAGTCTTTGCAGATGTTAAGAGGAGACTCCAATAGAGTAAGGTGGGCCTTGAATCCACAGACTGGTGTCCTTAAAACAAGATCCGGAGAAGATGCAAAGATAGAGGAGATGTGGGGAGAATGCCACGAGGCAGCCAGGGCAGGGAGTGGAGGGTGATGCACCTAGAAACCAAGGAATGCTAAAGACTGTCAGCAACTACCAGAAGCCAGAAGGGAGGCCTGGGACAATTGTCCCTCAGAGCCTGCTGGAGGAATCAGCTTGGCTGGCCGCTTGATTTTGGTGGACCGTGGGAGAGTCCATTTCTGTTGCTTTCGATCATCTACTGTGTATATGTTGCCACAGCAGCCTTACAGGACGAGCGCAGCATTCTCGATATAAGTTTGATTCTGTAAGGTGACAGGACAAGATAGATCTCCTTCAGGGCAGATGTGAGTGTTCTGGGGTGGCAGTGACCTCCCATGCCCTAAAAAATGTGGTTAATTAACTCTCTGCAATGCATCTGCTCTTTCTCACTAACCTGTACACCCTGAAGGGTAATTAAGGGGAAAAAATTCCCCAACAAACCTTAAAGTGACCGGTGTACAGTCACAGTCTTTCCCAGCTCAGCTCCTTCTGTGCAGTCTTCCAAGGGCCTCAGGGTGTCCCTTTGTCCCCTGCTAACTCCAGGAAGGCATCCCAGAGCATTCACATGGCTGTGACAGTGGAAGGAGCCCAGAGCCCTGCATCCCTACCACACCCTCTGGATTCTCTTGCATAGGAGGTCACCTTGTCCTTGTCAGCCATGGGGAGGGAGCGAGGACACAGCCTCACACTGAGAGTCACCTTCATCACCAGGTCTTCGGCCTTGCAGGATTTGATGCTTCAAGTGACAAGGGAACAAGCTGTTAGCCCTGATTTCTCAGGAGCCCCATATCTTTCTGGATGTTTCTACAGGCAGCTGCCTCTGGAAGCCCAGACCCAAAGCTGGAAAAGCCAGCACTCTGGTGCATTCCTCCATGGGTCCCCTTTCTCTCTGGCCTCTGTCATGACTTAATCCAACATTTCTTTTCTTTTCTGAGATTTGTACCCATTTCCTCTGACATATCTGGATACAAGGCAAAATGCTGGTTTATCAAAGGATGCTCAGAAACATGGAAGGCACAGGAAGTAGCTCCCTTGTCTGCTCGGCTCTGAAACTGGAGCTCACTCTACCCCAGGTGATGTGAGGATGTGTGTGGAACACCTTCCCATTGTTCTAGCAGGCAGAATGAGTCCAAAGCTACCTGAGCAGCTCCCTACTGCTCCTGCTCTCCTCAGAGACCCTTGCCTGGTCTCTTTCCCATGAGTACCTAGTAATCACCTTTGCTGATGCGTCCTGCACATCCACAGAAGCTGCAGGACGTATGTTTGGGACTCACTCCAGCCATCTGGAATGGAAGCCCAGCGGTGGCAGAGGGCAGCTGCTTCTGAGGTGGAATGGAGGTAGCTGAGGGGAGGACATAAAAGTGATCAGTGACAGTTTCTCTCTTGGGCTGCTGGCTTGTGGAACTAACAAGATCCTCCCTGCTTACTTGCTCATCTTTCAGGATTCCACTTCAGTTGTTCTGCTGAGGTGTCCCCTGACCCCTCCAAGCCTGCACAGAAATGCGTCTTCCCTCTCCTGTGTCTCCTGTAGGTCCAAAGCCTGTTTGGACAGCAGACACCCCTGTTAGAGTTCTTACCACACTCATCACAATTTGTTTGCAACTCATTTCTCTTCCACCAGAAAGACTCCTGCTAAGGCAGAGACCTTGGGGTGCTCAGTGCTTTGTAGAGGGGTTGATCCAGAGCAGGGGATCAGAAAACCCAAAGAATGTGAAGTGTTCCAGGCACATTTCCTGATTTCCTGTACTTCACAAATACCATTAGAGGAAAGGGAGTTTTCATACCTGCTGACCCACAGGCCAGACCAAAAGGGTAATAAGATGGGGCAAGGAGCTTCTTTAAAGCCTTTTGTCCCTTGTTCTGCCTTGCTGATGGGATGACAGCTACTAAGAAGAAAAAGAAGTTGGAATAAGTGAGTGTTCAGAGGGCCGGAGGATCCGGCTGCTCCTGTGTCTTCAAGGCTGTGCGGTGACAGGAACCACAGGAGCCCTGACCTGACCCAGATCGGATCCATTCTCCTGCTCCTCCTTTCTGGTGAGCGCTCTGGGCTGGGAGGATCTCTCATGATGTCAACTCTATAAAAACAGTAGAGGCCAAAAAATGTCTCTCCTGGGCACTGCTATGTGCAGAGGAGACACTGTCCTTCTCTGGGAGCCAGAGATGCACCACTGTGGGGAGTGCTTTTTTTGCCAGTGCCAGCAGTCTGTCCTGGCATCCGGTTTTGGCCCAGACAATTGGTTATTTGGAAGCAGAGTATTAGAATGACTTTTATAGCTAGGGATGTCAATTATCTGGCTTGGGGTTAGGCTGTCTGGCTTACAGCTGGGTCACCGAGTTCTGGAACACATGTTTCAGAATACACTGGAAAGGGCAGGCTAAATGCAAGTCACCTGCTTTTGGTGAATGGACTTGCATAACAGCAGGCTCTGGGTTCCATGTCCCCCTGTGTCCCAGGGATGGGAAGGGATGTTCAGGAAACCCCTTGAAGAAAAGTCTGCACCGATACCGGGAGCTGTTCCCTAGAGATGAATTTTAGCCTCCAGGAACTTGAGTGCCTTTATCTTTTTATTAAACAAAACCATACCAGCTTAGTTTTAATGTGGTAGTGGATTTACACCATTCTTAGCTGATTTTTAATTCTTGAAAATTTAATAGTACAGTAGGAAACCCGTTTTTGGTACTAGGGATTGAATCCAGGGCCTTTGACTGAGCTGCCTCCCCAGATGCCCCCACCCCTTTTAAATTTGAGGCAAGTCTTGCTAAGTTGCTCAAGCTAGGCTCCAACTTGATCTGTTTCTAAATAGAGGTTTCTGTCCATGTTTATTTCTCTTATTCTCTTCTTGTGAGTTAGTTGAGTAATAACTAAAATTCAACTGTGAGTCTGTTCATGGACAATGGAAAATCCCCACGAAAATGGTACCACCAGCAATGGGTCAGTTTGTATTGGCCAGGCCAACGGAAGGAAACCTATTTTCTTTTACAAAACGCTAACCCACGAACAGGAAGTGACTGCTGGGGAAACTGCAGGAGACTGAGCAGAATTACCCTTTCTTGGTGAATTTGAGCTCATCATCGCATGGAAAGTGCCAGATGACACATGAAACAAGAGGGGTTACAAATGGTACTTTCTTTTTAGAAATTAAAGATCATAAGGGGATGTGTGATTTCAAAGTTTTGCTGGACCTGTTTCTCAATGGGAGGTGAGTCAGCTTCAGTTGCTGGAGAGGAGAAGAGAAGAGGGTGAGGTGGGCCAGGACTATTATTAGTGTGGGGTGGGGGGTTTGCGGGGGGGAAGCAGAGGGGGGAGGTAGAAGGCCAAAAGCAATCTCCTAGGTGCAGGCAGAAAACGCAGAAACTTCCATTTATCTTTATTGATTTCATCCTTTTAAAATGTCTACTTTTTGTGCTTTATTTTGGAGTATTGAAAGGATATGGAAAGATGCACTTGGCGACTACTGACTTAAGAGGGAAGAGGGACAATGGTAGCAGTAGCATGGAAAGAACTAGAGATGTGGAGTAGCTCGCAACTCAGATGTCTTTCTATTCTAAGAAAGGAAATGTGGTGGCCGTTGGGAAGATTTTGGAGAGAGGCTGACATTGACTTTTGCTAGCCAAGGACTATAGGAAAAGTGCTGGGTTATATGCTATTTATTCCCTTTCTATTATTGCATATGGAATTTACACACACCCTCATTCTTTTATTTGTTATTCATTTGAGGAATATCTCACGTAACATTAACAAACAGCTTGAGAGGAAGGCTGTACTTTTCTCACTTTTACAACCAAGAAGCTAAACCTTAACATTGTTACATGATTTGCAGAACAGGGCAGGGTTTATACCCAGTAACTCTTGTGCTTTTGGGCTCAGGTGTATGGTTGATTTCCTTATAGTTTGAGTGTAAAATGGAGTAGAGACTACCCTTGAAATTATTTTTCATTTAAAGATGTTTTCCATTTAAAATGTTTTTAAAGATTTGATTGCTTCCTCCTTCAAACTGTACGTGGTCCTCTTTCTCATATAAGGAAGAAAGCCTTAGACTTGTTTCTAGAAGTCTGTAGTTTCTGGTTCCTGTTGTTTCGGTCTGTCTAGCGCTCTGTGGACACTGAAGGGCCCAGCACAAGGGTGCAGGAGGATGGCATTGATGAGGCACAGGGGAGCAGCTTGCTGGGGTTCTGGAGACGTGATTAAAACATATTTGGTTTCAGCACGTAACTGGCAAATCTGATGCAACTTCCAGATAATCCCTCAATGGCTTTAAATGTAAAGGAGCCATAGTTTCCCTTTTTAAAATTAGGCACCAATTGAAATATTTTGTTTTCATCTCATCTCACCTTAGGGACACCTCAAAGTGATTCCCAACTCAGAAATTCAAATCCATTTCCTACGATTATTTGTTCTTTGGTGTCTTCAGGCTTAACACTTCCTCTGCAATGAAATTAAGGACGTTGGGGAAGAAGTGTTATTGCCTTGAGTGCTAATGTTGCTTGAGACTGTTCAGCTTTCATTCATAGAGAGTTCACCCCCGCCCCGTGACGATTTAAAGAAAAACAAAAGCCCATGGCTAATTCTGTCATCTCTGGGACACAGGTGGGACCTCTGCAGGACCTTGCTGTCTTCCCCAGTCTGCCTGGCGAACTGGGTGAGGAGCGTGGTGGCTGGTGTCCCTTCCCCCCTTTCCCTCCATCCTTCTGAACTGATTCCTCGGAGGGAGCCGGCCCTGCCCTGCGGCCAGCCTCTTGGGAGTGTCCTTCAGGTCCTCCACGATCAGCCACTTCTGCGCTGGCAGCCGCAGCAGGCACCTGTACAGGGAGGGGCTCTGTGGGGCTTCCAGGCTTTTTCTCAAGCAGCGTTTTTCTCCCCGGGTCCTCACTGGTAGGGAAGGCGCTCTCTTGCACGGTCTTCCTCTTTTTCTGCGGATGTGCTGACTTTGGTTACCACCTAGCAGCTTCCGGTAGTGGTGAGTGGTCAAGAGCATTTTTCCGGGAGTTGATCTCAGGTTTTCAAGAATGGCCCCTGGAGACCCAGTTTGTTTTCTATGTAATTACTAGAGCTTTCAGAACAACCTGGCTTTCTCAGGGCTCTGGGCACGGAGTGGATGCTGGTTTGCTCTTCTTCCCTCGAGGCTGGGAAATAAATCTCCCTGTGGGTGAGGGGCAAGGTCAGGCCCAGGTGAGTAGGTGGGAAGCCGTCCTTGGTTGGAGAGATCAGCGGAACTTTAGCTCAGGGCTGGCTGTGACTTTGTGTTTCTTTCTTCCAGCTTCCTCTTTTGTTTTGCTATTTCCAGCCATGTGGTCTAGCAAATATGTTATATTATTTTCCTTTTACTAAAATATAATTTTGGGGAACGTTTGTTGGGGATGGGGGATACAACATTTTCATTTTTTGGTTTGAAATACTTTTTTTGTTCTACTAGCATCACCTATAAATAACAGTGGAAGTAGTATAAATGTACATTTCTTTTGGTTTGTGAGTCTTGGTTTGTGAGTCCTTTCATGATAGCTGGTTTTAAATTTTTAAGAAGGTTTTATCTCGAAATCTTCCTCGAGACGCTGTGATTCTGTGATGAATTCGTGCTTTGGGTGTGACAGCTGGCACTGGGCTGGCCCTCTGAGGCTGGAGTGTTCTGTCCTCAGTGCTTGGATTTGTGTGAACAGAACGAATTGATCTCGGTGGCTGTTTAGTCAACAGACATGGAAGTGTCTCAGGTTTCTGGCTAACAATTAGCTGTTTAAAGTAAAAGGAAGCTGGTGAGCAACATTAACTGGGGGCTGAAGGCTTATTAGAAAGAGATGAGGAAATATAGTTTCATATGGGACCGAAACACCTGTGCCCCCCCTGTGCTCAGGTGTGGTTTCCTGCTATCTCCACTGCTGGGTCAGAAGTCAGGATGATTTTGCTTAACTTCTGTTTATCTGGCACTTTCATATTGTCTTATACACAAGTCTTTAAAAATGAGACCCCAGTGATTTTTGTTGTTTCCTGGCAGTGTGTGTGTGTGTGTGTGTGTGTGTGTGTGTGTATGAGTGTGTGCACAGGAATATTTTAGTTTGCTTATACACAGAGAACTAGATTTTCATCTAGTAGAAAAACAATTATTCAAAAGAAAATTGGAAATTGTAACTCCTGGAACTAGAACTTCCTAATGGATGCATTCTAGCGACCTGTAGGGCATGCAGGAGGATCAGAAGGAAGGATTTCTGGGCTGGGGATTTAGCTCAGTGGTTTCGCTGCCTGCCTCGCAAGCACAAGGTCCTGAGTTCAATCCCCAGTACCAAAAAAAAAGAAGGTAGGATTTCTCACGGAAAGATATAAAAGAAAATGGTGATCCCTTGGCGGTGCTGATACATAATTTAACACTTTAACACTGATAAATAATTTTCTAAAGAGGTACTGAGTATGGCTTTGGGACATGTGATCCTGCCTTACCTGGAGGCTGCCTTTCTTCCAGTGCCCTCTGATTTACTCAGCTGAAGTTTGCAGCACCCACATCCCACGGGGGTCCCTGGGGGCAGCCACGAGGGCTCTGTTCTTGTCCTTTGCTGGCTCTTCCACACCCATCGTTCCATTTCACCTCTCTTCACTCTTGCTGTTTCTGAGTGAGATCACTCATTCCTGTGACTTCAGCACTTCCTTATTCGTGGATGACCTCGGGTCTCCTTGGTCACCTTTTCTCCTTAGCCCTGAGGATATTTTCAATGACCAAGGGGCATTTCAAGTCTAATGGAATCAAACTCATTCTGCTGTCCCTGTTCTTGCTTCTGCCCTTCCACCTTCTCCTTCTTCTCCTTTCGTTGATGTATTTGTCACTTTAGCTAATGGCAGAGCCCTAGACGTCACCCCAGATTCCCCCTTGTTCTTCACCTCAACACAGACCCGCCTGTAAACTCAGGTGATCCAATTGCGGCAACGTTTCTAGACAGTGGCTCCACTTGCTATGGGGTCCTTCAGAACCCTTCCCTGTCTACTCTGCCCCCGCCCTCCTCCCAAGCCCCTGTGATCTCGGGGCCACGACTGGACCGCTCCCCTGACCCTCCCTTCCCTCCCCAGCACTTGGCCTTTCTATGCGGTGTTCCTTTCGCCTGTTTTACCTTGCTTTATTCAGTGAACTCTTCTTCCTTCAAAAGGACTCAACTCAGAAGCCCCCGTGAGTCCTGGCTGACTCCGGTGAGCAGGCCCTGCGACTCTGCTCCCTCTGCCTACACAGTTCCCTCCCTCCACCGGAGCCCACTTCTCTGTCCGGCGGCCCTCCCTGGCGTCGTCGGTCCCCATCTTCCCTGTACAGTGGGCTCAGGGAGGCTGGGGGCGCATCCCTGCCTCCTCACACACAGCCCAGGTTGGAAACAGGGTGGGAGACCAGAGAAGTGACAACAGAAGGACGAGGTGGCGCTCAAATTGGAGAGCAGGTTTCCTACGTGTGAGGGTTTAAAAATACACTTAGGAAAAACGGACATAATAGCAGCTTTCCTCTCCTGGGTACTAGTTTGTGGCCGGAGGCACTGTGCTGGTGGCTCGACAGACCTGGCCGGATCCTGTTTTCCCGATAACCCTGGGAGTTATTCCGTGCTTGGCTGGAGCTGAGAGGTCAATGGGACGGAGCCTGGGGCCACCGGATTCCAGGCCTGGGGAGAAACAGGGAAGCGAAAAGGGGAAGGAAGGTGACTAACCCGGGAGGCTGGCCTGGGAGAGAAAGGGGAGGCTAGAGGGAGGGGAAAGGAAGCCAGGGAGGCTGGAAGGACGAGCAACGCGGAGGAAAGGCAGCTGGCAGACGGCGGGACGGAGCAGGACACTAAGTGGAAGGAAAGCTGTGGGTCTCTGCGGCTGGATGGCGGCTGCTCGCCTGGCAGAACGCGTCAGACTCCGGTGTTAGCAGCGCACGGCCATACGGACCTGGTACGCAGAATACAGGAGGTAAAATCATTACTGTGCAGGCGTGGTAATTAGACACGACTGCCGAGCGGTTCATAAACCCGGCTGAATTAACCGTCACTTTTATTTGTGTCCTCACACACACATGCAGGTGTGGGCACACACAGAATTATTTCTCACTTCTACTTTTGTACGCTGTCTGCAGTGTACGAGCACTGACAGCAAATACGGCCAACACACCCGCCTCACCTCGGGCCCGCACACACCTGTGCACTGGCTTCGCTGCTGCCCCGGGGTCCCCTCCTCCGGGTCTGAGCTGTGGTCAGCTGCCAAGCCCACTGCCCACCACGGACCCCGCGCTCGGACGGCCAGGTTAGGGCTACCTTGGCTGTGACTGTGTCGGCTGCACGTCTAGGCGTGGGAGGACACCTGAGGTTTTCCTCTTGGGGCTCTGGGGACCTGGGGTGGAGGGAGGGGCCAGCAGGGCTAGGACCAGAGACAGGGGAGGCAGCGAAGGGACAGAAGGGCCTCCTGCTGCCTGGCTTCACACCTAGACCCCAGCTGCTCGGGCCGGTGGCTCCGCAGTGGGACCTGGAGAGAAGGAGAGGTGAGCTGGGAGAGGCATGAAGCAACGTCAGGGGGCCGAGGAAGCGGGTGCGAAGAAGAGAGAGGGAGGAGATGGAGGAGGGCAGGCGGCGGGCGGGGGTTGGAGGACGAGGAGCAGGCGTTTGTGTGCAGAGGCCCGAGGCAGGTGCAGGGAGGGCCTCGGGACAGGTGACAGGACCCAGATCTGCATCTCCTCGCCCTCCAGTTCCCCCCCGGAGTGCTCGGTCTCAGAGAGGAGACAGCGGAGGAAGGAACTGAAGGCGAGGAGGGGTGGAGGCTCGGGTTGGGCTTGCTGGAGCCCTGGGCTGGAAGGAGGCGGAGGACCCATTTGTCGGGCACCTCCTAGGCCCCCGAGGCCCTGGGATGGAGGCAGGCGGGCAGGGGCTCCCGGGCACCATGCTGCCAGGAATCTTCGGCCCCCCTCTCCTGGCCCTCGGCTCCTGTCCTCCTCGACTGCCCTGGCCTCTACCTTTCTCCTCTCTCTGCCAGTCCCCTCCCGGTCCTCTGCCTTTCTGTCACCCTACCTTGCATTTTTAATCTTTCTTCTCCCATTGGCTCTGTCCTCTCAGGTCACCTTCCCACCCCATCTCTCCACCACAGACATGCCTTATATTTTAATATTTTTTTGAGGTTGGGGACTCTCCCTAAGTTGCCCAGGGCAGCCTTGAACTCATGATTCTCCTGCCTCAGCCTCCTGAGTAGCTGGGATTATAGGTGCACACCACGGTGCCTGGCCCCTGCTTTTTAGTCTTACCTGTTCGCACTTTCCTCCTTCTCTGAAGAATATCTTGAAGGGTGATGTTCACTGCCCTCATTTCTTGCTAACATTTGTGTAGATAATTTCACAAAGAGTTCAGAGGGCTGTCTGTAAGCTGACTGTGAGGTACGATCAACATATGCAGTGAATGTTTACATTAAAAATTATTGCACTAAAAGACATGTTGCCAGGCATCCCCCTCAAAATCCCCCCTTCACTTGGAATACACTTATCCCATTGTCTTTGCCACTTTCTGAAGCAGCTCTGGAAATTCTCTTTTCGAGTGTCTTTACAAGATGTGATAAAAAATACCACAGCCGAGCATGGTGGCACAGGCCTGTAATTCCAACACTTGGGAGGCTGAGGCAGGAGGATCGCCGTGAGTTCGAGGCCAGGCTGGGCTACACAGTGAGTTCAAGGTCAGCCTGAATGACATAGTGAGACCTTGTCTTAAAAAAAAATGCTGCTGCCCAGGGCCATCCAGTGGAAAGCCAGGCCCGTAAAAACATGACGCTGCATCCTCATCCACCTTATTTACCAGATCTGTGTGACTTCTGGGTCTTCCCTAAAGTCAAAATGACAGCGAGAGGGAAACTTTTTGAATCTATTCAGGCTACTGAGGCAGCCATGAGAGTGCAACTGAAGACCCTCAGGGAAGAGGACTGCAGCGCTGCTGCAGAGAGTGGCAAGGACAATAGCATAAGTGTGTTTGAAGTAAGGGGGAGGATTTTGAGGGGGTTCATGGCAAAGTGTCTTTTGCTGTAATACATGTTAAAAATTCAAAGCTTGCCTGCACTTTCAGTCACCTTCTACCTAATGGACACTCCCACATGAGCCCCGCTCCATAGCCCATCCAGGTGTGCCATGGAGCTGACAGGGATCTGCTCCATGTTCTATAATGAGATGGCAGAAAGAGCGACCCAGGGCCAGGCTCTTCAAGCCAACAGGGCCCTCTTCTCACCACAGCCTAGCAGGCCATTCTCGAGGGGCTTCCTTTGGTCCTCTGGACCACCATCCAATGGCTCCGCCGAGGAGACCCAGCTTTCTGGGACCACCTCTTACTAGCTCAGGATTTGAATGGTGTAAAGCAAGGACAATTTATTAATTTGAGACACGGAACATTAACTGTCAGGAGGACCCGAATGTTCACTTCAGCTGCCTCCTTTAGTCTCTCCCCGTGGGGAGCACCTGTGAGAGAGCAACTTGTCACCAGCAGGTTGCTTGGTGAGTGTGGCATCGGAGCAGGGGGAATTCCACCTCCTGATGTGATTGTTGAATGGCCTCAGGTTGTTAAGGAGCCTGAGTTTCAGCCCTGTGCTCGCAGCGTGGAGCCACCTGCACCCACTTCCTGTAAGGAGAGACCCCCTTGGGGTGGCACGTGGGCAGGATGGCTCTTCCCTGCCCAGGGGCTTAGCTGAGCTGTCCGACATGGATGTCTTGTTATTGTTCAGCCTCGAGGTGTCTGAAACCCACTCCTCACTCTCCTAGTTCAAACTGACATTTTCTTTTGACTTTGCCATGTCCTTCATTAGAAGAATTATTTTCTGTGACCAAGATTGACAACCTAAACTTGAAATGTAAATATACTTCATGGAAGTATAACTTTTAATTTTAAAAAAGTATTAATGCCATTTTAAATGAATATGTGTGTAAAGCTCCTAGCTATTACTGTATTTCTGTTACCTTTTTTCTTTCATCTCTGTTTTTCCCATGCCCTTTCTCATATATGAGGTGTGATGAAAAAATGCAGTAATGGTTAAATTTTGAACATTTATCACAGTAAAAACACACTGCCATTAATTACCCTTAAAATATTCCCCCTCACTTCAAACATTTATCCCATTGTTCTTTCCTCTTTCTGTAGCAGTTCTGGAAGTACTCCTTCTGGAGGGTCTTTGGTTGCACTGTTGTGCCTGCTTTGATGTCCTGCCTGAATTGATTCAGAATGTTTACTTTTCATGGTCATTTTGACTTTGGGGAAGAGCCAGAAGTCACACCAGACCTGGTGAATAAGGTGGATGAGGACACAGTGTCATGTTTTTATGAGCCTGCCTTTTTGTGGGATGGCACTGGACAGTGGCATGCACGGAATTCTTGATCACACTTGGTAAAGACATGACAGAGAACTTCCAGATCTGCTTCAGAAAGTAGCATGAACCATGGGATAAGTGTGTTGAGAGCAAGGGAGGAGGGGCCGGGAATGTAGCTCAGTGGTTCCACCACCTGCCTCGAAAGCACAAGTTCCTGAGTTCAATCCCCAGTAAAAAAAAAAAAAAAAAAAGAGTGGGGGAGGATTTTGAGGGGGACTCATGGCAGTGTGTCTTTTACTATAATTATTTAAAAAAACTTAAGCATCTACTATATTTTGATCACTCCTTATACATATGTATGAATACATGTGTATTTAAATATATGTACTAGAACTTCCACACAAGGAAACTACTATTTTTTTTGAGTAGGAAAAATTTATTGAGAGAAAGAAAGCTTCTAAGAGAGACAGAAGTGGGGCTGGAAAGTGGGTTGCCCGCCCACCCCACTTTTCAAAGATGTTTTATACAGCAAAGCCATGTGGTGAGGCGGGTACAAAGTGGGACAAAACTATAAGACCCAATGGAAATTTACAGGGTGGGCATGAAGTGGGGCAAAACCATGACCAACCAATAAGATTTCAAGTACAGTCACCCCAGTAATATTGATTAAATGGGAGTCAAATGGGAAGACAGGTCACATACAAGGAATTTCCCATTTAGAATATCAATCACTGCTAGCTATCTCTAGGGGAAGTAGTGCCTCCTGTGTTTATAATGCTGACCAGTGAATGTGCCTCAATTATTCTCCATGTTGGCTCCTTGCTGTGTTGGCTCCTGGAGGGCTGGTGCCTTAAGGGGGGCCTTGTCTAACTGCCTAAAAGATATCTAGTTAACTTACCTATTTGCAATATTTCCTCCTCTGAAGAAGAACCCCTAACTCCTGTGAGAAGGCAAAGGGCGAAGACCGTTCTGGCTACTTCCAGCTGAAGAGGGTTGTAGTTGTGATCAGCAGTCAGAGTTACTCTACAGAGGGTCTGTCTAAAGACCTTCGATGGGTGCCAGGCACTGTCATCTTGGGCAGCCTTATAGCTTTGAGTCTAAAGGAGACAAAAGCCAAAGAAATAGTTAAAAATACATGGGCTAAATTATAAGGTCAGCAGGATTGCTATGAATATAGCCAACAAGGGAGGAAACTGTCAGTTTAATCCCTTGCATGAGACAAAGCCAAAGGTAAGACAAGCCTTCCTCATCAGCCAATGGTGATATAAACCTCTTCTCTTCTCACTTCTCTGCTTTGGGGTGACCTAAAAGAGGGGGTTTGTATTCATATAAATACTCATTGGCTTCTGTATTTGTAAATGATTGAATTTCAAAGCCCTGAGTTCCTACTTCTGGAGCTGGGCTTTACATTTTAGCAAATATTTTTCTCTCACCCAATTTTGTTTCCTGTATTTCTTCAGACCTCACTGATCTGAAAGTTCAGCAAAAGATGACTTTTTCTTTCCTCCGGCATCCTTCAGAGTTGAAGCAAGAGTCAGCTGGGGTATTTTGGTAAGTTGATAAACATGTAAGAGTGAAAGGCTTCAATGTTACTTTCTCAAAGTTAGACCGGGATCTGCTTCTCCCATAAAATATATCTGGATTGCCACTATTCCAAGGAAAAGATTGGGTTGGAAGGGACCTGAACTGTAAGGTCAACTCTGTGTCTTCCATTATAATTCCATGTCTTAGAGAGTAAAAGCACTTGAATAAGATCGTAAATAAGAATAACTTCTGAAAATCTACAGTATTGTTTCATTAAATGACAGTGATCATATTAACATTCTGGGTGAATTATGAAGTGGAGAATATTTGCTATAAAAGCAAAAATGGCTAAAATGAAACAATAGATTTATTCAATATCTTCAAAATAAAAGGTTTTGAAGACTTTGGGAAGTGGTATTAGAGAAATTACTAAAAATAACAACGTCATGGGATAGTTTGAAAGTAATTTTAGGAAGGATATGGTGTTGCTTTATGTTTGATTTTCTGGGAGCTTTTAAAATGAGAAGTTCTTGCAGAAAGATCTAAAATAAGAGAAGAAAGGTGTTGCATGGATACGTTCCCTTTAGTTCCCTTTATAGTACATGGTTTATGTAGGTTCATCCTTTCTACAGGTGTCTGTTGACACCAGTCTCCCAAACCCTAAGGGGAAGTGGAGGTGAGGCAGGCCGAAAGCTCATTAACTTCCTGAGAGAGGGATTCCTTCTGGCTGCGTTCTCCTTGTCCTCTATTCCAGTTTAGAGCCCCTGTGGTAATCTGGTTTGAAGAATTCTGCTTCCTGTCCCCCGGCTGGGACTTGGAGCCGGACAGAACATGTGGGCCTCGTCTCCAGAGAGAAGGGTCAAGCCCTGACAGGTTGGCCCGAAACCTGCCGATGAGCTGCCCCTCTGGCCAGATGGGGCCACCAGGCCCGATGTCCCCCTCACATAGCTCATGAATCCATCTTTCTGATGTCATTTTGTATCCAGTGTGACTACTTTTGCCTTTTGGCTTATAACTATTTAATGAAACAAAGAAACAATGAAGAAAGTCCTTTGTGGATGAAAATTCACTTTTGTCCATGCTAATTTTCCCAAGAAGGACTTTCTTCAAGGACAAAAACCAAACAAACAAACTAAAAAAACCCAAACAAACAAAAAAACCAACCAGCCAAAGAAACAAAAAAAAACCCCAAACAAAGCCCAAACCCTCTTTTTGTGTCTCTTCTTCTGCAGCTATCATGTCCCCTCAGTGTCCTTCCCCACCCCAGACCTGCACATCCCCCAGCCCTTCAGTTAGCTGGCAGTACTCTCCCCATTGCTGACCCAAGTTTGTCTGTGCTGTGAGCTTCCTTCTGGGCTAGAGATGGGGTACACAGGAAGACAGGGATGGGAGGAGGGAGGAAGCAGCCACAAAAGCCACAGCCACCCCCAGCCTGGAGGGCAGCTCTGAGACACTGGGGCTTGGGCCTGGGGTCTAGGAAGGGAGAGCTGGTGAAAGGGAAGAAGTGCTTCTTAGCACTGGTAACCCTTGCTCCTTTCCTTACAGAAGCCTCAGGAAGGGTTGGTAGCGCAGCAGCACCTGTGGGCATGGGTCAGACATGGCCGGAGAGACGAGCTCTGGGCTGGGGGAGCTGGGAAAGTGCGTTCCAGAGTGACAGTGGCTCTGGGTCCTCAGGACGCTTGGAGGGGCTCCTGTCTCTGACTCGAGGTTGAGGGAGGCCTCTGAAGGAGGTGACTCAGGAGGCCAAGAGGTGGTGACAGCAGGAGAGAGCAGGTGTTCAGATCCTGAATGGAAAGAGGCCAGACCGAGTATTTCTGGAGTCCAGACAGGAGAAGCGAAAGGAGCACATGGAGGGGGAGTGATGAGAAATCAGGCTACAAACTGAGCGGGACCAGGCTGCAGAAGGTCCTGCCCACTGGGTTAGAACCTGACTTTTTCAAGGCCAACCGAAGGAGCCTGGAGGGTTTGCAGCAGGCCCTGCCAGACCCTGTCTCCTCTAAGGAAGTAGACTCTGGCTTCCGGTGTCTGTGTGGGCACTGCCCTACAGGGGAGCGACAGGGGCAGCATCTCTGGGAGGAGGGACTTTGTGGCAGGACCAGGGAGTTACTGACGGTGACATTTGCGATCACCGCTGTTTCTAGCAGCCCCTGACAGCGCAGCCTGTCTCCTTGCTGGAATTTACAGGAAGGCCCTGGGCCCTAGGTGGTATTCATGGCCTTGTATGTTAGGCACACTCCAGGTGGCTCCGGCGAGGCGCAGCATGGTTTCAGGTGCTCTGGATTCCGGGGAGTCTGCAGGGTGCAGTGGATGTTGAGGAACTTCCTTTGCTAAGCCATTGTCTTCCCCATTGCTGGTCTCCATATGACTGAGCACCTTCTTTATGTGTCATTGCGTCATGCCATATCCCTTCGCGACCACCGAGGCATTGGTCTTACCAACAGAGAGCGATGTATTGGGCACCGTGGCCACCCTGGCCTGTGTTGCCAAAGGTGCCTGCCTTCCTTCCCATGGTCCTCTGGGTTCTGCATGTTTGAAATCATCTGCTTGCCCCTTTATTTGTAAGTCTTTAATGACAATCGCTGTATGAAGGAAAGCAGACCACATGTGGGGTTTGGGAGGCATTTGAAGATTTGACTCAATTTTAATGCCAAATCGAATGGCACACTGTCTGTACCGTCACTTGTCCCTTACAGTCTTTATAGGGGAGTTCACATTTGAGTCTGATGAGATAAACTGGTCTTAGCTTAACAAGAGAAAAGCCAAAACTCCGTAAAAAAAATCTGATCAGAGTCTGACATGACACAGAAGCCTTCAGACTGAGCTCCTCAAGTCCCTGGATGAGTTAGTCCATTTTTATACTTAGGTTCGGAGACGCTGGGAAGACCATGGAGAACTGGGATTGGGCCACAAGGGTCTGAGCCGATGAAAGCAGTAGGGAAGCCCAGAGAGTGGTCTGTCCTGACTCCTCCAGGCCCTCAGTGTTGCCTTTCTTCCTCTGAGGTGTGGGGCAAGAGCCTTTCTGAGTGGGGCCCTATGACCTACGCTCAGACACGGCAGGTCAGCGAATTTCTTTATGGCCAGCTCTACCCAGAAAGACAGGCAAGTTGGAATAACACTTGCAATGGTCACAGTTGGTGCTGGCGAGAAGGGGCTCTGGTTTCTGTGACTCGCCTTGGGGTGGACGAGCTCTAATCTCCATGGCTCGCTTCGGGAGGAGAAGGGGTGGGACACACAGGGCCAGAGAAGTCAGAGAGAAACTGCTTCTGAGCTCTTCACTTCCCAAATGGCTGTCATTTTCTAAGCCCTTACATCTTTATAATTCAAACATTACTTTTTGGCAAAGAATTAATCTAATCTGGGCAGGTGAAAGCCTGGTAAATTGAATCTATTCTTCCTTGTGGTGTCAGCGACTTCATAGTCACCTAGGTTTGTCTAGGACGAAAGTTAGAGTATAAATCTATGATTACTGGGCATTTTCCAAATCCTGATGTTCTCTTCACCTCTTGTTTCCCCACTAGGCCAACTGTTTTGACCCAGTGACAGACCAGGTGCGATAATGTTCCTCTGTAAAAAGAAACCATGCGGTAAGTACGGCACTGTTCTGATGGCACGAAGAGGTATGGATGTTGAATATTACTTTTGTTTTCATGGAGGCTTTATTTGCAAACAACAACAACGACATCAACCACAAACACAGGTCATAGGTGTGAAAGAAGTTTTGACACCTGTATATACCCATGTGACCCCCCCAGGTGTGTAAAACAAGATATAGGACATTTCTGTCACCTCAGCAGTGTTTGCAGGTCTTTTTATTCATCTTCCCCAAATCTCCCACAGCGACCTTCTGATTTATATCAGTTCAGTTTTGCTTATTTTTAAATGACTATAAATACTGTATACTGAAACAATACAGTATACATTCTTTTGCTGTGATCCTTTTGCTCAGCATAAGGTGCTTTTGGGCCACATATCTATATGGTTGCAAATTAGTTTGTTCTCCTTTTTTTAAAAAAAATTTCAAAGCAGTGTTTCATTGTGTGAATATGCCAATATTTAAGACTGAATTCATATACCACAGATAATTTTGGTCATGGTAGCAGGAAACACACTTTGGGTTGGTTGTTTTGTTTATTTGAGTAATCAGTCTACTGAATATACGTTGATTTTTCCTTATCTGAAATGCTTGGGACCAGAAGTATTTTGTAGTTTTTAAAAAATTTATTTTGAATTTTTGCATACATTTTACCTGACTAAGCATCCCTAATCTGAAATCTAAAATGCTCCCAAATCTGAAACTTTAAAATGCTCCAAATTGTTTCAGATTTGGGAGCATTTTGGATTTCAGAGTTTTAGAAGACGGACGTTCAACTGGTAGCATTAATGGAATTCTGGTTCTTTAAGGCAGCATCCCAACCTCAGAGTGCATATCTTCTCTCTTGTCTCTAGTTGGTCAGTGGCAGACTGTCATGTCGTTTTTACTTTCATGGACTTACTTTTTCACTGCTGTCATTGTTTTTGACCACAGACTCTGTAGAGACTGAAGGTTGGTTACAAGTTAGCTAATGTCTTGCCTCTCCTTCTCAGAAGGTCCCAGACAAGTACTTAACCTGCTTCCAAAGGTGATTACTTCCTGATGCAGTTGGATTCCTTGCTTCCTTTAGCCTCATAACCAGGTGAACTCTGTCTTTCAGGAATTCCCACCCACAGGTCATTAGTGATGCCCTCTGGGTGATGCTTTCATATTCCCAGTGCCAACCTAAGAGTCTATGGACTCTTGTCATGTGGAATTACTTTTATCAAATCACAGGTATACATCCCCAGCCCTAACAGGTATACTCTTAGCTGTAAACAGGAGGCTAACCAGCATTAACGTTAGGCACAATCCCAGCAGGACCTAGTGTGGCCAAGCTTTGACAGGCTGAGGACATGAATGACATTTGGGTCTCTGTCTCTTAAGATAGTTTATGTGGGATATGAATGTGCATATGTCAAATTGGGTGAATTTTAATAAATCAAAATAAGAAAATGGAAGTCACTGTAATTATTTAGTCAGGGATCAGCACTTGAGGCTGCTGTGTTGTGTGTAACTCTGGAGGCCTCTCATCCAGTGACCTTTGTTAACATGTTTGTCAACAGAGACAGCCCCAAGTGGAACCATACTGACATTATTTTGAAGCCCAGTCTTTTTGTTTTTGGTACCGGGGATCGAACTCGAGTCCTTGCTCTTTTGCAGCAGGCGGAGAAACCACTGAGCTAAATCCCCGGCCCCCTTGAAGCCCATTCTTTAAACTTGACATCGTGATTGTATTATTTTTATGTCTTTGAATAGTTCTCTATAAAATTATTCTTGTCTATATTTCCCCTAACTTTTAATTTTGAGAATATTGAATTTTACAGAAAAATTGAAAGAGGAATGTAGTGAAAGATGAGTATCTTCACCATAATTCTACAACAGTCATTGTTTTGGTATGTTTCTCCTTTTTCTTTCTCTGCACAAACAGATATGCTCATTCATGTACACACACATGCACACACAGATATTCTTGTCAAACCATCAGACAACAAAATTGTGATGTGTAACCCCAAATATTTCATCATGCATCGCTTAAAAACAAGCTATTCTCCTACATAACCTTGGTATCAGAAATACAACATTGACAAATAACGTGCACTTCATTTTTCAATTTCTCTACTTAGCCTGTGAATATCTCCTCTCTGAAAGCTGGTTTAAATTTTTTGGTATGGTGTCCAGTCAATGTTCATACATTGGGTTTGGCATTTAGTCTCTTTTTAAAAAATATAGAATAATTTTCCCATTATTTCAAATTCTAGAAAAGTCTAGGCCCACCATTTTGAGCACTTTTCTAGTAGAGTTTAGTTAATTTCTCCTATGCCAGTTTGGATTGAACATTTTTGGCACAAATACTATGTCAATTATATTCCTTTTTAATTGTCAGTTAGCTAGCTTATCGACAGCTTTTTGGTGAGGAGTTTACCGTGGCTCTTCCTCACACACAGTGTCATGGAACTGAGCACTGGTCACCACTACGTAAGGAGGCTCAGTGTCTCTCCTGCATAGTTGTGTCTGCCAACGCCGAGGCCAGTTCCTCCATGTTGGACTTATTACCAAGGCCACACGATGTGAGAGAGCTGACAACTATCAGTGCATGATCATGATGGAGAACAATACATCTTTAGGTTACCTCAGTTCCTCTAGACCTGATAAAGGACTGGAGAGCTTCTTCATATGAAATAGTCACTTATTCAGTCAGCCAACGTTTTTTTTTTTTTTTGGTACTGGGGATCGAACTCGGGTCCTTGCGCTTGCGCAGCAGGTGGTGAAACCACTGAGCTAAATCCCTGGCCCCTAGCCAACATTTTTTAAAGTCTAATTTTTAAAATTTTTAATTGATACATAGTAATTGTGCATATTTTGTGACATTTCAATATATGTGTACAATATATGGTGTAATGATCAGATCAGGGTAATGGGTCTATCCATTACCCCAGACATTTATCATTTCTTTTGGTACCGGGGATCAAACTTGGGTCCTTGCGCTTGCAAGGCAGGCGGCGGAACCACTGAGCTAAATCCCTGGCTCTATCATTTCTTTTTAACAAACATTTTTGAGCCCTTTTTACAATTCAGTCAAATAGTCACATTCTCACAGCAATTTAAAAATTTATAGTAGCGATGATGGCTTCAAACAGTCTGTGAAACACCACTCCAAGTGTTGCGTTTGTGAGGGGAGCAGCTGTAGAGAGCTTTAGCCAGCCAGGGGTTGCTGGGGGAAGCACTATCCTGGCTCCATGAGGATTCTGTAGCTACAGCATTTAATAAAGGCATGCTTCCACTTATCTACCCTTTTGGCATCTCAGGAAGCACAGGCCATCAATAATATGTGTAACAATACGCAAGCCAAACATGGGTGTGGTGGGAAAACCACAATTTTCCCCCAGCTGGGCTTTATTCTTTGTCATCTCCATATTCACATAAAGTCTCACATACTTTAAGATGTAAGGTTCCAGCCAACTGACTCAGATTTTTAAGACATTATGAATTCAGGATTTTTTATTGGCTTTTTGGTGAATTCTCCCTTTCTGAACATGGTACAGGGGAGACCCAAAGACACAGTGTTTCCAAGCATGTTTGTGTCTGAAGGAGCCATCCGAGGGGATGTGTTCATGTGTGAGATCCCCGATTCAGACCTCATCGCTTTGGTAATACGGAAGCAAAAGAAGTGGATAACAAGGGCTCTCTTTAAGCTGCTAAAGCTACTCTTGGCTAGGAATGGGGGGCTGTGGAGCCAGCAGCATCGCTCCGTAAGGGAAGCCCCCAGACTGTTTATGGAGCTGGGAATAAGCAGCCCGGCTGCTGTGGGTTTCCCTGGGCCCCAGGCTCTGCTGCCTTTGTGTTTTCTTCCTTCTTTAATGAAAGTATTAAACATTATATTTATGACCGTGTTAGTACAAAGACAAATATAATTTAAACTGGATTCATTATTATGTATCTATTACTATTTTATTCATTTTTTTCTTCTGATTATAAAACAAATGGCAATTAAAATCCTCTTTGTTCTTCGGGGGCCTTACAAGCATTGCAGTCTCTAGAGGGCTCTGCTTGTTGTGCTTCCTGGACGAGTCGCCTTGATCCCCACGTGGCTGGTGGCCTCCCAGGGACAGCACAGGGGACCCACAGCTTCTAAGACAGCTCCTCTGCCCGTCTTGGTGGGCCAAGTGGATGAAGCTCTCAGGGGCGCTTGGAGTGGCAGTGCAGCACTTTGAAGTCATTGCTGCTGCTATGAGTTTAAAAATCTCATGACACTACCAACCTGTATGACACTTCTGTGTGTGTTTTCACAACACAATCAAAATCTTCAGCTTTTCCCCCCTCAACTTTCCAGATGTTTGATTTTAGGTGGCTGTGACATAAAATGGTCAATAGGGTAAGAGCAACAGCGTAGGAATTTCCTGGTTTTGACCAGAATGGAGCCGTGGGTGTGGAGGCTCTGTTGACATCTGGTGGTTGTCCCCAAGTCACAACAGAAACATGAGTCAGAAGCAGTAGCAGGAAGCCTGGGTTCCACCGCTTCTCAGCCCTCGGTACTCGAATCCTCTAAGCTTCCTCACCTTTCGTCTTTGAAAATTAGGGCTCAGATCTCCAAAGGTCACTGTGAGAATGAGCATAAAATGCAATGATGTATGTGAAGCAATTATAGAAGCATTACCTATCTGTTGGACTACTGAATAAGTAGATATATGGTATTGCTTCTCGGCCTTTTGGCTAAGATCAAGTGTAGTAGATATATGGTATATAGTCTATTGATTTCTAGTTTTTCCTCAAACCCCAGGCTTTGCCAAAGTCCTTTTGTCCACTTCCATGCTGACATGAGTGTTGTGTGTTCAGCTGGGCTTCCTATTTACGGAGGGAGCTCTCGGGGCTCCAGTTTAAGAGGACATCTGGAAGCCCGGGGCCTCTTCTGGCCCCTCCAGAACCCATAATTTCACAAGGGCTGTTCATTTACAGGGCCTCCATGAAGGTGTACTGTGGTCAGTGCTTTGGTTGAAGTTAAAATACCTGCTT